GATGTTTTGGGTCATGCTTCTTTGGATCTGTGGGACTCCACGGTTTCGGCTGTTTTGTCCCCTGTGACTTGTCACCCTCTCCCCTGGGCAGAGCAGGCTTAACCAAATTGACTGAATCCTCGTAGTCAGGGTCAGCACGCTTAGAGTCACTGTCCAGTGACAGTGGAGAGTCCACAGAGACAACTTCAATCGGCTTCGTCAGAATGTGTACCACGTCAGAGTCCGACCCATCAGAGTCACCGTCACGAGGGCGTTTGACATCACTTGTGGGACGAGGGGGACTCGGAGTTATCTCATTGCGGGTTCGTTTGCCTAGAACACTGTCTGAGGGTCGTAAAGGGGCCGGGGTGAGTGGTTGTTGGGAAGCGGACAGTGTGGCAGACTGTGACGTGTCAGGTGCGACTTGAGTGGTCGTGTCAGTACCAAGAGGGTTTTGAGGCAGCAGACGCGACAGCGACGCCGAGCCCAGAGAATGAGTCAGTGCTGGGGTAGGGTGCACTTCAGCAGGCCCATCAGAGGCATACACTTCGGATGTTCGGGAGATAGTAGGCTCCCCTGCTTCTGACTCCCCTGCTTCTGACTCCCCTACTTCTGGCTCTCCTGCTTCTGACTCCCCTGCTTCTGACTTCCCTGCGGCGGAAAACCACTCAGCAGCAGATTCCGAAGTGGCGTCAGGTTGGACGTACTCGTCATCCGTCAACTCCCGAAGATCATAGCGAACATCAGCAAGAGAAACTTCAGTGGCAGACTCGGAAGAACCGGCTTGGTAATCAGGGTCAAGCGCAATATCATCAACCAGTTCGTCATCACTTGTCGGAGAAGATGACGCAGAGATAGGCGACTCCGGAGGGGCTCCCAAGGTTTGAAGAAGCAGCACGGGATTTGTACCCGGTGGTGGTTGCGAGGAAGCTCTGGACAACAGCAGTGACCCGGACGACGATGACACCGTAATGATATCATGAGGGTGCTTCGGCGAGTTGTGAGACAGCACATCAGATTCAGCATCCATGGAGGTATCATCCTGAAGGACTGGAGATGAAGGGGCCAGTGTGAGTGCAGTTGACTGGGAGTCCTCAATCAGCCCTGGTACCAGATTCCAGGTTTGAATAGGCATGGGACTGATACCAATTTGAGGAGCACCCCGACGAGGTGAAGAAGGCTTGACGTAATTAGGGTTCGTCTTGAGAGGGAAAGACCGTTCATACACCTTGATAGTGGGTGTGACAACCACATTGCCATCGTGGCAAGTCCAGACAAAATCAGCACGACGAGTAAGGTCAGGCCCAAGATAGACACCTTCAGCACCATGCGCCGTGAGGCCCTTATAACTCGGATGTCCTTTAGGGACGTCGCCCACAGCCTGACACCCAAATGTCCACACCTTTGGGGTTGTCTCACCAGTACGGAAACGTTCCCATGGAGATTTCGACTGATTCTTGCGCTTAGTTAGATTGACGAGGAGAGTGGCCATTCGCCACGAATAAGGCCACATGTACGCTGGTACATCACTCATATGCCTGAGAGCAGTCTCCTTTTCACGTATAGTTCGAATTGCACGTTCAGCCGCACCATTTTGGAACAGCGCATGTGCAGACGTTGGTTGAAGTCTAATACCCTCAGACTTGCAATACTCTTGAAGTGTCTTGTTGTCGAATTCTTTACCATTATCGACACGCAAACGTTTGATGCGGTATCCATATTGACGCTCAATGTACTTGATCTGTTGTATAAGCTCGTTGGCCGCTTGAGCTTTCTCCAGAAGTATTACTGAGATATTGTGACCAGTGTAATCGTCATGAATCACCATTGCCCAGCGATAACCTTGAGGACTGTCTGTAGATTGATGTGCAAGGTCAACTGAGAGACGGTCACCCGGCGCCTTTGCCGGATGTTTGCCCTTCTTCGGCTTACGCAGCGTAATCTTAGCAACACCACACGTCACACAGTCTTTTGAGATAGCATCTGCAGGATGACCCATCCGATTATGCAATGTTATGGGATCAATCGATATGGATTCTTCTTCAACAGTTTGACCGACTAAGTTATTGACATCACACATGTCTTCCAAGTAGCACACAAATTTCTTGTTGATGAATACCTTGTTGTTCACAATCTTGAACGGAATCTTGTCCCTGACGAGTTGAAGCGGTGATATGAGGTTGAACTTTGCCGATGGGCATGCACGAGCATCTTTGAGTGTGATGCCGAGATTAGTAACTAGATCACCAACCTTAGTGACCTTGATTGGCGCACCAGTAAAGCTCTGAAGTGTGACATTACACAGTCTAACATTGGTAAGGAGGTGAGTATCAGAAATCACATGCTTCCTAGTTCCAGTATCCACTGCAAATGGTTTTGACGAAGACTTGCTTACAGAATGATAGGTTGACTTACGTTCACTTGGTACAGACAGAGTAGATTGGGATTCTTTAGCATCCTCTTTAGCAGTTGAAGCACCGCCGTTCTTTTTCTTTGATTTACCCTTGTTTTCTTGAACTTTGTTCACAGCTGCCTTCCGACGTTCAAACCATGCCACCATTCTATCGACATCAACCTGAGTAGGGGAATGGAATTCAGTAAGACCTTCAATGTATGCCTTTTGTAAACTGAGTGGTTGGACAACAAAGAATCCATGGAAGGCATGGCGTTCTTCAGGGGAAAGTCTTTCAACTAGTTGACCAATTTCCAAAGGATACAAAGCAAATCGGACAGTGAAGTCTTCATAATTCTCACGATGTTTAACATATTTCTTCATGAGGCTGACAATATCATTTCTCCCAAAGTCTCTGATAATCAATCCTGCAATCCCTTCAGCATTAGTCGTGGGCATCTTATTTTCAATGGCAGGGACACTAACATAATGTCTAAAGACATGCATCACAGCAGTGTTAAGGGTGTTAAGAAGCGCCTCATGGTCTTCATCTGTTTCTTCAGCGTGTCGACTGAAAGTGTTTGCAGCGTCACCGAATAACACCATAGTCCATCCTTGGACTTTTGTACCATATTTCTCCGAAATATGTTGATAGATGCCTTTCTTCCAGCTTTCGAAGTTGGCAGCATTATCATAAATAGGACTAGTTAGCCTACTAATAAAACAACTTGATCAAAGTCAGTTCTACATATGAATATTCCACTTGTGTTTACACCACAAGAGCGTGGAGCTCTTGTGGATCGAGTTCAACAACACATCAAACATCACAATACCTTGTAGGCGACTCTGGAGACTACCATCGTACTACTTTCGTCGCTCACGTCATAGTCCTTGTAAGATAAGAAGAAAAATGACATCGCTTTTCAAGGTTTTCTAATATATGATCAAAAACACGAGCATTGTAAAACGTATTCAGGGCTGATTGGCTTCTGCTCGAGCTGTAAGTGGCCGTGGTTTCTGAGTTGGGACTTGTTGCATATGCATCTCTAGCTGTATGCAAGCTTAGGGTTGAAATGTAGGATTAGACGATATTCACGTCGCTTTACCAAATTCCATTCACTTTTCACAGGAAATGATTTTATGGCCTACAACACAATTATTAAGTAAACCATGACAAAAATATTGACTAAATTTTGTTGTTTAGCTTGGGAGAGTGTTCATCTTTGAGCAAAATTTATGGCTACAGCACTGTACATCGAAAGTACCCGACAAATCACTTCACTGGCCACCGTCGGGCTGCTCAATTTTTTTTTTTTTTTTTTAAGTTTTTTATCAGCTATCGGTATTTGAAAATTGTCGGATATCGGCGTTTGAAATTTATCTACCTTGAACACGGAAAACACTATATAGTAACTATTACCAGCATACATGAACTGTGAGAATGACGGAAATGGAATCAAAACACACTCAACTTGTTTTGAAAACGGCGTAACCCCGACTTGGAGAGTCGTCCCAATTTCTCGAAGCAGGTCCCCAGCGCCGAAGTAGACCGCGCTGGCGCCACCCTCCCCCCCAAAAAAAAA